GCCTGTGGTTCATGTTTCAGGGGACGTTGGTACTGCATTGGTCCTTCGTCGTTCTCTCTTGTCGCCCCACTTATCTCCCGAGAAAGAGAGCTTACGACATCAGCTTTTTGATTGGTCGGAAAAAGTGTGTATTTTATATATTTATTAGCGTATTTTTATATGCTTAATTTTATCGCACTTATATATCTTTCAACTTATTTATTTATTAGATGGATTCAAGTGCTATGATATTTTTATGATTTAATTTCAGGATGTTGGAGCAGTTTGTGGACTCAAAGAATTGAACGGACCATACCCGATTAATTAAGGCCAAAAGACAACACTAAGTGATTAATGTCATTTGGATTTTGGAGATGGATCATGATGCTGGAAATTTATTAGGCCCAAAATTGCATTGATTTAGAGTAACAGGGCCGAAAGAGAATTGATTTGATAAAGCTTCTTGGAGAGGGATTATCTTGGGCCAAAATTAATAAGAGATGGCTTCATTGGCTTGGGCCTGGGAGTGGGAATTTATTTGTGACTCCACTCATGTAATTGCATTACGGGAGAGAAGGGATTTTAGTAAGGAACCACCAACCAATCTTTATTGAAGGAGGATATATATATTTTGGGAAAAAGCACGCAGCCGCCACACACTGATAGAAGGGAAGAAATACGCTGCAACACGTACAGATAGCAGAGACGCAAGAAGCCCGATCAATCGCGGAGGGAGACCGCAACCGCACACGAGAAGGATAACTTTATTCTTCTCTTTGCCTTTTTATTTATTATGTTAGCTTAGCTTTTTATTTCTAGTTCCGGGGATGTTGAACCCTAAGACTTGACGAATGTTTGATTAATTCTTGGTTGATAATTTCAATGTCTTTTGGAATTGTTTGTGTTATTTTGAATTATTAACCCTGATTTGTTGAGTCTTGTTTAGCTTGATCACCTAGACTAGGCTTTTCATATCTACACCTGAATTAGGCCTTCAATCCGTAATTGTTGATGTGTTTAATTCGCAAGTGGTATCCGGAAGATGGTAACTACCGGGGATAACACGGCCTATTTAAGTGAACGAACACGTCACTACTTAGTCTAGCCTATTTTTCTAATTCGTAAAGCGGCTGATTGTATTAAATCTAAGAAGCGTTTTCTAGACTGTACAAGAAGTCAGGTCTAATCGTAGAGCGTCTCGCAGTTAGATTAAAAATAAGGAAAAATTCGGGTAACAACCCGTGGCGTTACCTAGGGCTAGTAATTCCATAGATAGCGAGATTTGATACCAAAATTGGTTAGACGAGTCAGTCGAGGGTGTAGACGGAACCGTGAACTAGAAATTTCTCTTTATTTATTTTATTTTATTTTTATTTTCTAGTTTATATTTTATTTGCTTCATTAGGATTTTAGTTATTTTAGTTATTAAATCCAACCCCCCCTCCCTTTATTGCTTTTATAATTCAATTAATACGAGAAAATTCATAATTTGATTCACACTCCCTGTGGGATCGACCCTTGCTCGCCACTACTACCAGTTAGTAGAGGTTAGTCAAGGAAAAATATAAATTTTAATTTTGCCGCGTTGCGACGCGCGGTCACTTTTTGAGTCCACGTGCACCATTGGTGGCTGGGTCTGTCGTTTTGTGATTGATTCGGGTGCCAGCGACAATGTGATCTCCAAGGAGGCAGTAACAAAGCTTGGGTTGTTGACAAAGTCACACCCACATCCTTACTCTCTTGCGTGGATACAACGGGCTAATGCTGTCAATGTCGATAGTCGCGTGTTGGTGTCTTTTTCAGTCGGCTCCGTCTATACCGACGATATTTGGTGTGATGTAGTGCCTATGGATGATTAGCATCTCTTATTGGGCCGTCCTTGGCAGTTTGATAGGTCTGTGCTTCACGATGGCCGACTTAACACCTATGAGTTTTTACATGAGGGCGTCCGTATTGTTTTACACCCGTCGGCTCCCCGTAGGTTCCCTTTGACACGAGGGTCACCGGCACTATTCCTTTCTCGCTCCCGGCCATGTGTGGAGTTCTGTGGGTCGTTGGATGATCGATCATTGGTTTTTGAAGTGGGAGATTTTGTGTGGGCTGAATCTGCGTCGGGTGGTTGGATCGGCCCCTACGAGCTCGTCGATAGGCTCTCGCCGGATACCTTCCGTCTCCACTTACCTTCTCATGTGCCTTCGTCGGATGTTTTTCACGTATCGCATTTGGCCCCTTTGCATTGCTTTGACTTTGACGGAGACGAGATCGGTTCGGATTCGCGGCCGAATCCTTCTCAACCGGGGGAGGATGATGGAGACGAGACCGCGATTTCGTTTCTAAATAAATATGATAGGCTTCGTATTTAGATTATTTATTTCCTATTAGTATTGTTCCTTTTATTTTATTACCTTAGTATTTTATTATGGTTAGTAAATAAATATCAAGCCTAGCTTGTTAGGCAAGATAAGTAGGACTCTATATATTTATCTCATCTCTACCGTAGTCAGATGGTTGAATTTGAAGAAGATTTCTGATATTTGAGTTTTGTGTTTTATCGAGAGAGTATCTCGTTTTATTATTCCCATTCGTTCACGCTTCCCTACATCAATGAGCAATTGGAGGAAGAAAAGATGAAGAAAAGGACAGTTGAAGAGATGGGTGATGCCATCAAGTCATTGGAGAATACAACTTTGGATTCAAAGAGAGAAATGGAAATGAATCTATGAAGTCAAGACATGCGACTGTGAGTGTAGATGCAATGCTGGAAGCTCTGCAGCGCTCAAATGAGCTGAAGTTAGAGAAAGAAGATGAAGCTCTTATAAAATCAGTGTTCAAGGGACAACGTGAGCCTGTGGTTTTACGAAGGATTGATGAAGATTTAGACGATGATGATGAGAATGAGTATTTATTTGCTACTGAAACTGATGAAAAATCAACTCGTCCTTCGAAGAGGATAAAAGTGCATGAAGAGAAGAATCATTCTAACCCAACAGATATTTTTACAAAAGTCAGCATTGACAGCTCCAGCAGTCAAGATAATGCCCGTGCTCGTGGGGCTCCCGATAAGGGAAAGTTTCTTTTCAAGTCCTCTTCTGTCCGGGTTTCAATTGTGAAGAAACCAACTGCAGAGTCGAAGGGGAAGAAGCTCACGGAGGAAACTGTGAAGGGCGATGAACAATGTCCAGCGGCTAACAAAGATGAAGAAGAAAAGCAAGATGCCCAACACACATCTGTTACGAGCAGTGGATTACAATCTCTATGCCAAATGTATGGAAGTGATGAAGATGATGTGTGACAATCTCTATATACAACGTGGAAGATTATTTTATTTTTTTTTATTATTTTTTTGTTTTTTCTAATCTACAACGTGGAAGAACTTCATCAGAATATTGTGTGTGGTAAAGCATATGCCCCCCCTCCCCCCCCAATAATATCACATTTATAAATTATTAGCAGAATTATATATCGTCCATACCGTATCTAAAGTTATATGTACATAATAACATCAAGCAATCCATATAATTTTTTTTTAAATCACGAATATAATCACAAAGTAAAAAATAAAATAAAGTTAAAGGCAAATCGGAGAAAAAAAGAAAAAATGTATGTAACGCCTTTGTTGTGAACAGATTTGATAATAAATAAAAAAAATGTAACAATTTTAAGCGGGAAAATCTTGGAGGTTTTATTAAATTAGTATGTCACCCGCGCGTTGCGCGACCTGATGTTAAAAAATGATGTGAATGTATTATTATATAAATAAATAAAGAATATTCAGAAAATATGTAGAGAGATAATAAAAAGTAGGATGAAACTTTTATGCATTATATTTTAAAATATTTTTCTAATTATAATATTATTAGTGGATGAATTGTATTCATTATTACCATTATCATCATAAAATAATAATCATCAGAAAATAGAGGTCCGTGACTATAGAAACAACAACATATAACTGGGTGTGATTATAAGATACAATATGTTTTGTAATAAATAGTTTCAAATTAAATAAATTCAACTTAAAAAAAAAAAAACATTTGTGATATTCAATGTATTTGTCACATTGATAACACTCCTTGCCTTTTTTTGCCTAAAATATTTTGATAATAAAATAATTTTCTTCATTTGTGAATAATTAAAGATATTATTACTACTCTATATATAAACTCTATATAATAATTGAAATAAACATGTACAAAATATGAGTCAATTAATATTAAAAAATATAAATTAAATACTTAAGAAAAAATACAAAAATGATTCAATTTCGAACCACATGCGTTTAGCTTCAAATTAGATCCACATATCTTTCACTTTTTAATTTACTAAATAAATTTTAATTTTATTTATTTGCAAAATAAGTCCGATGGTGATCAGAATGACGTGCAAGATCAATCACCTTATGTAAAGTAACAAATATGCACAATAATCGTTAATGTTCATGTCAATAACAAATTACTTATTTTATTCCACGTAACTCATGCGGAATGTAAGTTAATATAATTTCGCAAAATTATGAGAAGATGACATTTAAATTATATTATATAAATTATAAAAAAGTACAAATTATTTTGATAATACTAACAGTTATAATATATGATAAGAAAAAGTAGTTGATACATTATATTAGAATATATAAAGTGTATTTTATGTTTTAGCACTTTTTCCTTCTCCTAACACTTTTAGGTCATCAGCTCTTCATATAATAGCATGTAGTTAGGGTTCACTATACACATTATCACTTTTCATTTTTCCCTTCTCCCACACAACATATCCGCAACTTTCTCTCTCTATCTCTCAATCTTTCCTCACAATGTACAAATTCTTTCAGATACTTCAATAAAATGTTATTATATTTTGATTCAATATTACAATATGGTATCAATCGCCGAGTTCTGATCGATTCTGCTTTCTGATTTTCCGACGCTATCTCTTCGATCATTCGATTTTTTTTTGATTTATTTTCGATTTCTAATCTATTTTCGATCAAATTGCGATTTCGATCTAGATCTATATCTTACAGATCTCGATTTCGATCACAATTTTGTTCCTGACGATTCGATTTCCTTTGCGTATATTCATGGCGACTACTGGATCTCTGACGCCGACTGACAATCCGTCATCTCCATACTATCTACATGCCGGAGACAATCCTGGTGCCCTCATTGTGGCCGATCCCTTCAACGACAACAATTACATGTCCTGGTCTCGTGCTGTTCAGATGGCTTTGAGTGTCAAAAAAAAATCTGCGTTTATCGATGGCAATTCGGTAACACCTGATCCTTCTACTAATAATATTGAGTATGTTGCCTGGGTAAGAGCCAATAATCTCGTGTTATCTTGGATTCTGAACTCTATTAATAAAGACATCAAACAATCTCTTCTGTTTTTTACATCTACTAAAGAAGTCTGGGATGAAACTCGGTCTAGGTATGCCTTAAGTAGTGGACCTAGAGTTTTTCAGCTTGAAAAATCTCTTAGTACTATGGATCAAGGTTTTCTATCTATGACTCAATATTATAACAATTTCAAGTCTCTTTGGGATGAGTATATTACCTACAGACCTCTTCTTAAATGCAACTGTGGTGCAATGAATTCATGTTCCTGCAAAATTTTTTACTCCTTGATTATTGCTCAACAGAATGATGTTGTTATGAAATTCTTAATTGGTTTGCATGATTCTTATGCTTCTCTTTGCAGTCATTTCCTTCTTTTCTCCCCACTACCATTATTATCTACTGCTTATTCTTTGTTGTTACAAGAGGAAAGCCAGAGGTCTCTTCATAATAAAAATTTTGACTCTGTTGCAATGGCTGTTAAATCTCAAAAGTCTTTTAAGAATCATGCTTCCAAAGAGAAAAAGAGTGTCAAATGCTCTCATTGTGGCTATAATCATCCTATTGAAAAATGTTACCAACTTGTAGGCTATCCTCCTGATTGGATAGGTCCTAGGGGTCAAAGAATTCATCCCAGCATGTCTCAGTCTCTTTCTGCCAGTGCTGTTAATTCCACATCTTCTTCATTATCTACTGATAAATCTTCCATGACTGATGTTTTGTTTAATGAGTTCTTAGATTTTAAGAAATCACATGAGATGAAGCAGGGCATCTTTTTATCTCCTGCTGTGGCCAATGCTATCTCTGAACATTCAGGTACCCCTACCACTTGTCTTTCCAATACCGTGTTAGCTAATCAAACATGGATTCTGGACACTGGTGCTACTGATCATATGGTTTGCAATATCAATCTTCTCACTTCTACTCCTATCAAACAAGAAGTTAAAATCAACTTACCTAATGGTCATTATACTTGTGCCAGCCATGTGGGACAGATTACTTTGGGTCATAACCTTATCTTGTATAATGTGTTATATGTTCCATCTTTTACATTCAATCTGATATTTGTCTCTAAGCTAACATCCTCTAACAATTGCATTGTTAACTTTGTCTCATCTTCATGTGCCATACATGACCTACAAACCAAACAAATGATTGGTTCTGCTAGGCTTCAAAATGGATTATATCATTTGAATTTCTCTGACAACATTGTTCCAAATGTTTTTTCTTTAAATGTACTTTCTGATAATGCAATGTCTGAATCTGAACTGTGGCATGTCATATTAGGTCATCTATCATATACCAAAAAAAATCTTCCATTCATCATTCTTGTGATGTATGTCATTTCAGTAGACAAAAAAGGTTATCCTTTCTTGTAAGTACTAGCATTGCTGCATCTTGTTTTGATTTGATACATTGTGACATTTGGGGGCCATTTTCCACACCATCTCACTCTGGTCACAAATTCTTTCTTACTATCTTGGATGATCATAGTAGAGTAACATGGGTTTATCCTCTAATTCATAAGTCTGATACAAGAAAGTATTTGTTACATTTTTATAATCTTATTTACACCCAATTTCACAAGAAAATCAAAACAATCAGAACAAATAATGGTTCTGAATTTTTCTTACAAGATTTCTACTCTGATCATGGAATCATACATCAAACTAGTTGTGTAGAAACACCACAACAGAATGGCAGGGTAGAAAGAAAGCATCAACATTTACTAAAAGTAACAAGGGCAATCATGTTTCATGCATACTTACCATTAGAGTTTTTGATTGATTGTGTTTGTGCTGCTCACATTATAAACCAAATTCCTTCTTCTGTTTTAAAAACCTCCCCTTTCCAAATTCTTTATGAGACAACCCCCTCTCTAAACCATTTAAAAGTCATAGGCTATCTCTGTTATGCTTCTACCTTACTTGCAAAAAGATCAAAGTTTGATTCTAGAGCTTCAAAATTTGTCTTACTTGGATTCCACTTGGTTGTAATGGTTATAGACTTTGCAATCTGGAAACCAAGAAAATTATTATATCCATACATGTTTCATGTTATGAGAATGTGTTACCTTTTAAAAATCCTTCTAAAAAACCCCTGAATTCAGATTACCTTTTTCCACCTCACTCAAATGATGATGCTGCTTTCAGCTTACCTCCCACATCAATCATACAAACTTCAGCTATTTCAGACAGCAATCATCCCACACCACCTGTTTCAGACAACAATCATTCCCAACAACCTATTCCTCCTTTTCCTTCCACTCAAAATCATAACTCCTAATCCATCACAGACATCATACCCACAAATATTCAACATTCAAACTCCCAACCTATCCTTACATCAACATCTACTCCTCCCAGAAGATCAAGTAGAACCAGACATCCTCCATCTTACTTGAACATTTACCATCACTCTGCATCTCACTCTTCAAACCTTGTAACACATTCTAAAACATCTGGTACATTATATCCTATTTCTGATTTATTATCTACATCTTTACTTTCTGATTCTCATTTTTGCTTTACTTCTTCCATATCTCATAAAACTGAACCTAAACCTTATAAACAAGCAGTTGCTGATCCTTTATGGACAGAAGCAATGCAAAAAGAGTTATCAGCTTTAGAACAAACCAAAACTTGGACTGATTTGCCTTCTAATCAGCATTGCATAGGCTGTAAATGGGTATATAAAATTAAATACAAGTCTGGTGGTTCAATAGAAAGATACAAAGCTAGACTTGTAGCTAAAGGGTATACCCAAGAAGAAGGCATTGACTATTTTGACACTTTTTCACCGGTTGCAAAAATTACAACTGTTAGAGTTTTGCTTGCTATTGCATCTGTTAAATCATGGCACATACATCAACTTGATGTGAACAATGCATTTCTCCATGGTGATTTAGATGAAACTGTTTATATGTTGCCTCCTCCTGGTTATTTAGATGCTTCTGATA